GCGCCGCCCGCGCTCTCCAACAGGGTGAACTCCCGCTGGAACTGCAGCCTACTCGCGTCCAGCTTGGGGTTCTGCGCGGTGGGCATGGCCACGTTGATGGTCTTGCCGATGAGATCGTTCATGAAGAAGCTCTTGTCTGAGTTGGGGCAGTCGACGTTACTCCACCAGTCGCAGGTGAAGCGCTCCTGGTTGAAGAGCGAGCCGTTGTTGCAGAGGAAGGAGCTCTTCGGGGCGAGCGAGGAACAGACGTGGAACACCTGGCATCCCGTCTGCACGTCGGCGTAGTAACCTAGAACACAGAATCACGGGGGTTTGCGTCAGGAATAAGCCCGCTGGATAGCTTTTTCAAAGCAGAAGGGCGGGCTAAAAAAGGAGCAGGGGTTGAGAAGATTCAGGCACGAATAGTGCATGGTAGCATTTGGAGACAGATTTTCACGCCCGTTAACTCAAACTCACCGTCAGCGCGGCCCTCGCAAGAGAAGTCGGTGGTGGGGATCTCTCTCAGGGTGGGGTAGTCCTTGCCGGGCTCGCCGGGGATAGAGTCCCTCAGGTTCCACTTGGTGGGGTCGTCATTCGGGTCGTTGTACTGGCCGTCATCCTCAGCCTTGGGCTTTGGCTTGGGCTTGGGTGGGTTGACGAACTCGGGCAGCAGCTCAAGGCCTTCGATGTTGTCTTCAGGGGGCAGGTAGTCTCTGCTAGGCTTCGGAGTCGTAGTTGTGGTCGTGGGGATGACCCTCCTCGTGGACACCTCAGGCAGGTTGTACACAAACTGGAAGTTGTTGTCCTTGTCGACCTAAGAGATGGTGTAAAAAGGGGATGGTGAGTGACAGGCCGCTGCGCAGACGACACGCCAAGACCTAGAGGTGGACTTACCTTCTTCAAGTTGATCTCGACGGGCGGGAGGTACTCGGGGGCGGGCGTCGTGGTCCTCTGAGTTACAGGGGGCAAGTACGTCGACGGGGGCGGTGGTGGGCGGCGGGTTGTCGGGGGAGGAGGAGGAGGAGGTGGGCGCCTAGTCGTGGTCGTGGTGACAGGGGGAAGGTAGGTCGAGGGGGGAGGTGGTGGCCTACGGGTAGTCGTTGGGGGTGGAGGAGGAGGGGCAAGCCTTTGGGTGTATGTAACAGGAGGAAGGTAGGTCGGGGGT